CTGTCAGAGGTTCCTTGGGTCCTCCATCTCCCCTGATCCCCTCTGATTAGTAGGAGGGGATGTGAGTATGACTGAAGGTCCTGCTCTGCCTTTACTTAAGTCCTGGGACTGCACGAGGGAATGGGCCCCAGTCTGGAGTCCTGGATTGCCTGGATATTGATCTATGGCAAAGAAGTAATTGAATTCAACACAATTACGTTGAACTCGAGGCTTTTGCCAGGCACTGGGAAGAGCACCAGCATATTTTGGGAGGGGTGGTGGTCGGGAGACACACCCAGTGCTTAGGCCTTGCCCTGAGAAATGGTCCAGTTATAAAGACAGTAGCTAAAAAAATGCAAGGCAAGGAAAGGTAAGGAATAGGATGTCAGGCTTATTGAGTGCTTTATGTCAGGTGTGCGTCAGTAATCATTCTGCTCTCAGGCGACAGTGCCCTACAGTAGAAAAATCTCATTGTCACCCCCATTTTGGAGATGAGCATGCTGAGGCTCAGAGAAAGGCACACAGCTAGAGAGTGAGGGAGCTAGGGTTCCAACCAACGGAGAGCCTTCCCTTCTACCCAAGACTCTATGAGCTTTTATAGAGCTACATGCCACTTGATTCTTTCTGGTGAAGGGAGCAAAGGGGTATTTAAATCCTCATAGAACTCAAAATATTCTTCGTGGAGAAGAGAAAACAGAATAAAAGGCCTACCCCGGGAAGAATAGATTCAGAGGGCCTGTCTTGGGGGAAGACTCAGCATTGACCTCAGGCCAGTGGCTTCTTACTCCACCTCTGATGAGGTTATTTACCAAACAGAACCTTTATCGGACCCATCAGGTTGTTCCCCAAACTTACTGGACTCTGATGTAGACTGAGAGATTTTTTTATCAAGCAGATGTGAATCCTTTCTCAGGCTCTGGGTTTCCGTGCCTGAACTTCTGAGGACCAAGAATGAGGACCTCTTCATGTGAAAAGGATGCAGGAACCAGCTTGAAAGGGTCACCACTGTCCAAATGAAGACAACCTGCAGATCAAAATGAATCATGGCAGGAATAGTTTCCCAATACTGAATGATAATCCATGAGTCTAGAGTACTCCTTAAGAAAAGCTTTGAAAATCGAGATTGAGAGAAGGGAAAGATCTTTACAAAAGATTGCTCAGAATTAAAGATACAAGTAGACAGTGGAAAGAAGAAATCACCTTTAAACAAACATAACAATTCAGCCACCAGTTATCAGTAGATGGTCTTTAGGGGAAATGATGTTAGGGCACAAGATATGGACTGTGGGAACCACGGTGAACTTAACACCACTTACTTACAGTGAAACTAGACTTTTTCCATGTGGCTCATGAGGCAGGATCAAAGTGAAGGGCATAATATCAGATAGTAACAGATTTTAAAAGGAGAAGAAAAACTAGAGAAGTCTGGACAAATAGAACGCACATCATGAGATGATAAATGTAAAGTCAAGGAGAAAAAGTCCCATTGAATGCGAATGGACAAAAAGATCCAGATAAAAATCCACAACTTTCTAAACCAACCAACCGACCAACAAGGGCAAGCTTTTGCAGTGCCTGGGTGGCTCAGTCAGTTAAGCGTCTGCCTTCAGCTCAGGTCATGATCCCAGGGACCTGGGATTGAGCCCCACATCCAGCTCCCTGCTCAGCGGGAGTCTGCTTCTCCCTCTCCCTCTGCCCCTCCCCCCACTCATGCTTTTTCTCTCTCTGCTCTCTCTTTCAAATAAATAAATAAAATCTTTCAAAAAAAATGCAGGAAAAATAAAATCCTCGAGTGGCAAATTTTCACAGCCCTCTCTCAGCAGCCCCCAAACTAGTAAGGATACAGAAGATTGGACAGTTAAAACATCTGAATGTAGAGGTAGATACATAATCATATAAAGTACATAGCATATAGAAGGAGATACAAAATAAAGACATAAAATACATGTATAATAATTATGCATTTAGATATTAGATAAGATAAAATAGAAGTTAAAAAATAAAACTATTCTACATTCGTATAAAATGAATATATACAGATACAGAAATATGTATATATATTAATACATACAGTTATACACAGAAATCTATAGGTTATTTTACCAAGAAGATAAAGGAGAGTCATTATTTTTAAGGACATATCATATGTTTATAAAATTTAAGCATGAATTGGACATAAAGCAAGTCTCAATATATTTCAGAAGAGTGAAACCCACAAAGGATGTTCTTTGATCACAGTTGCAAATGTGCTGGATCATTGAAGAAATGATAACTAGCATTGCCACATATGTTTGGTAATTGAATAGCCTTTTGAACAAAACTACAGAAGGAAATCTGAAAGGAAAAATCAGTGGGAACTGGATGAAAATGATACTGAATAAATGGCAGTAAAATAGACCTCTTCTGTCTTGGGAATTTGCCTTTGGATAGAAAGATTTATGGTGTTCAAATCATCCCATATTAAGGGAGAAGGTGTTACACGTTAAACATCCCTAGAAATGCCCCTTATCTCTGTCACCTTATTAGGTGTTAGTGTGGGGTTTACATTATGCACATAAATGGAAAAATGCCAAGCTGCATCTCATGCTTGATCTGTGTGGGATCTCCATGACCATTTTAATTCATAAAGTTCATAAGCTTCTCTCTCAAGGGACTTCTGGACAACACCCAGGGAGTGTGGCACCACCAGGAGCCTGAGAGAGGGTGAGGAAGAATCAGAGGGAGATAGGGGTCGAGAGAAGAAGGGACAATGAGGAATTGCAAGGAGGAAAGGGGGAGGTGGTCCAGGTGTGTGGAGGCCGTGGGCCAGGGAGCCCTCCTATACCAGAGGGGCCTTGCTCAATTTCCAAAACCAGGCCCCAGATCCTGCAGCCTGGAACTGGCACAGATGCATTGCTGATCTCGACCCAAAGTATTCGAAAATAAGGTCCGTGTTCTCCCTCCGGAGCTAGCAATGTGCAGCAGGATGGGGGGGTTGCTATCCTCATGTCCACTGTGGATCCTGATGCAGGATGGTAGGTGGACAGTTTCCAACCCCAAGCATTCGGGGCGCCTGGGTGGCTCAGTCTTTAAGCATCTGCCTTTGGCTCTGGTCATGATCCCAGAGTCCTGGGATCAAACCCGGCATCGGGCTCCCGGCTCAGCTTCTCCCTCTCCCACTCCCCTGCCTGTGTTCCCTCTCTCACTGTCTCTCATTCAGAGTGAGAGAGGGAACAAGTCAAAAAGAAATCTTAAACAAAACCAAAAAACAAACCCCAAGCATTCTCTTACATCCAAGCAGAAACGTCATACTTCACCAAGCTTCTTCTAGTTGTGACCGGATGGCAATTAGTATTTGAAGGTAAAATGGGTTCCTTCCCAGACTGATGGAAACGATTTCATCCATCTTCCATGTCTAAATCACTTTTCATTGAAAACATTATCTCAGGAGACATGCAGTAATTCATAAGGCATGTGTAGCTCCCTCTAGGTTTGCATTTGGACCCTGTCACCTATGTGTTCCCAAACACTTGATTGGCAAAGTTGAAACTACGCTGTCACGATCAAGATCATGGTGCTAGATGATGTCTTACCTAAATGGAATTTCAATATCCTGACCTGACCGGAAATTATTCTGTTCTTAAGAGGGAGAAGATTGAAAGCAAAATTAAGATAGTGTACTGGGTGTCAGTGTTTTATGTACTAGGAACCTTTTGGTGGGTAAACCCAAGCACGTGAGTTTGCATTATGTCAATTTGCAGTCTGTATTTTGGAGGGGAGTGGTGGCAGCGCTAGCAGTTCCCTAGTGACATTGACAAAATCGGTTTCATTCTTCAGTGACACAGAAAGGAGAAGGTACAGATGTCTTTGTGTCTGAGGCACCGTCACAAAGCCCTGTCCCAGTCTGGAGAACAGGCTTGGCGGGACCCAAGCACCCTCAGTGCCTGCAGCTGAGCAGCCATGGCTTGGAGAATTGTAGGGATTCCCAGGGCAGCCGGCAGGGGGCGCGCGCGCACCTCCGACGGTGGGGGGCGGGGGCGCGCGCGCACCTCCGACGGGGGGGGGCGGGGGCGCGCGCGCACCTCCGACGGGGGGGGCGGGGGCGCGCGCGCACCTCCGACGGGGGGGGGCGGGGGCGCGCGCGCACCTCCGACGGGGGGGGGCGGGGGCGCGCGCGCACCTCCGACGGGGGGGGCGGGGGCGCGCGCGCACCTCCGACGGGGGGGGGCGGGGGCGCGCGCGCACCTCCGACGGGGGGGGCGGGGGCGCGCGCGCACCTCCGACGGGGGGGGGCGGGGGCGCGCGCGCACCTCCGACGGGGGGGGCGGGGGCGCGCGCGCACCTCCGACGGGGGGGGGCGGGGGCGCGCGCGCACCTCCGACGGGGGGGGGCGGGGGCGCGCGCGCACCTCCGACGGTGGGGGGGCGGTTTCCCTGAGGGCGCAGCAACTGCCTGCTGTAGGAAGACTTCATGGCCTTCTCTGACCCAGGGCACCGCAGGGCAGGAGAGGTTTCTGCTGCCCCCCGAGGACCCACTACCCTCCGAGAGCCAGGGCTGCGTTTACCAGCAAGTTCTGCCGCCGCCCTGGGAGAACCTGGGGCCTTTGCAGCAACTTGGTGCCTCCTGAGGAGCGAAGGAGAAGCAGCCTTGTTGGCTGAGTGCTGAGCAGGGGGCTCTGGGCGGCTTCCCAGGCCCTGCTGGTAGGTGAGCAGCACAGTCGCTTGCATTTGGGGGGCTGTTGCCCTGGTTTGGTCCTTATTTTCCCTGAGGGTATTTGAACAAGAGGTATTTGACTCGGGCATCCGTGGATGGAGGGGTCCCGCGACGCCCCGTCAGAGATGCTGTGGTGGTTTTGTTACAGATGCAGGCTTGTTTCTGGGGAGAAATCCTGACTCCAATTAAGAGGAAGGGGAGCAGCATTTAGTTGGGAGGTGAAGACGCTAACTGCTGCCTCTCAGGACCTTCTAGAAGAATGAGCTGGGATCCCACTTTCTGATTTCTGCTGGAACCAGAGCCCCAGGTAAAAACCAAGTACCGTCCAGTTTGTAACCTTAAAGGTAGAAACTCTCAGGGAATTATCAGCCCAGGTCGGGTTTCTTTGGAAGGAAAGAGACTTGAATGCAGGACAGAGAAGCTGTGATTCAACCGTAGGCACATTGGGGAATATCAGAGAGGCTCCCTGTTTTCAGGAGGAAAGGGGGCAATTTGGAAGGCTGTTAAGAACCGAAGGTCCATTGGTGGCATCTGGGAGTTCCAAGTGTTGTAGCTTCTCGTGGGTGAGCCCTGTTGGAGGAGGTGAGGGGGGGATATAGAGATGAGAATAGAGTTCTGCTAGCTGGAGTAGTGGAGTATCCATGTGCGAGGTCAAGTCCATGTCTTCCTGTTGGGTCCCCACTTTATTTGGAGGGGTAGTGTGTGGGGGCTCCCCCTGCCCAAACCTCCTGCCTGTGTTTTGTGACATTTCCCGTTAGGAGTTTTCAAAATTACCCTTTTAAAAAAATTTTATTACGTTAGTCGCCATGCAGTACGTTAGTTTTTGATGTAGTGTTCCATGATTCATTGTATTTGTGTAACACCCTCACTCCTTCTGATCAAGATTTGCTTTGATGAGCAAAATAAATCAGAGAAAGATAAATACTGTATGATTTTACTCATCTGTGGAGTTTATAAAGAAAAAAAAAACAAATGAGCCAAGAGAAGAAAAAAGAGTCAAACCAAGAAACACTCTTAAGTAGAGAGAACAACCTGTTGTTACCGAGGGGAGGTGTTTGGGGGAATGGGTTGAATAGGTGATAGGGATTAGGATGAGCACCAGGTGTTGCCTGGAAGTGTTGAAGCGCTAGATTGTACACCTGAAATGAGTATCATAGTGTATGTGGACTAATTGTAAATAAGAACTTTAAAAAAGTTTCCTTGGGAGAATTTCTTTTTCTCTTTAGGATTTTATTTATTTGTATGTATGTATGAGAGAGAGACAGAGAGGCAGAGAGGCAGAGGGAGAAACAGGCCCCCGCTGAGCAAGGATCCCAATGTGGGACTCAATCCCAGGACCCTGGGACCATGACCTGAGCCAAAGGCAGACGCTTAATCGACTGAGCCGCCCAGGTGTCCCTGGAAGGCTTCCTGATCAACAGTCAAGTTCTTTGTAGTTAGTGGTTTTGTGTTTCAGTGCCAGCAAAGCTTTTTCAGATTGGCATGTCTCATGTTGGAGGGAATGTGCATGGCAGTTGTAGACTACTCAAGTGACACCTGAGGAACAGGGAGGGTTAGATGGGAGAAACTCACGAACTTCCCATGTGAAGTCTGTATCTGCTCAAGACTGAGACCAGTGAGCCAGCATCACTTCATTGGAGACAGTGTTTCTACAAAGGACTGAGAGACAGCAAGTACAGAATCAAAAACAAGATGACAATTCCAAACCATATGCTGGTTTTAATCCAGGACCCTAGGTCTGAAAGGAGCCAACTGAAAATATTTATTGGCACTTGTTTGGACTGAAGGCAAACCCGGAGTCCTGTATGCCTCCTGGAAGTGTCCTCCCCCAGTGGCTAGAAACAAAACAGACAAATACTGCAGGAATGCACTGAATGAAATCACTGAGCACATTAGGGAACATAGAGTACACTGAAGAACATGAAGCAATAGTTAGAGAACTTGTTGCAAGAATAGGAATACTTCTGGGACATTTCAAAACAGTATTGTTCTTTCAAAAGAACTGTTTAGAACTATATGGGTTATCAGTAGTGGTCTGTTATGTTGTAAATTCAGAAACCATGCATTTGGATTAGAATCAGGATTCAGTTAGTAGTTGAGGTAAAAGAAAGACTTTTGAATTCTGAACCTTCTAAACCTCTAGAAATGCTCACAAGATCAAAAGGAGGCGATTTTAGGGAAGATCATAATCCAAAGAGGTTTCCTCCTTTTGCAAGAGACTGGGATATGCAGAAAATGGCATGTTCTTTGCACAAAAGAGGTAGAAGGAGCAACAGTGAGAAAAGGAATGCAGGCCTGGTCTGGACATGTGGGGCAAGCTGTCTCCCCAGATGTTTTCTATTGCAATTTGGGAAGTATTTACCTTCTTGTCACCAGCTGGTGTACAGGTCCAGTCAGGGTTTGGTGCCTTCTTTAAATGTGTCCCGTGGACCCAAGAGTCCATTCCCTGGGATTTGGCAGCACAAGGTTTGGTTAGCAGTATGTGATAAGGGCCTCTCAAGGGAGGTTGAAGAGAATCTCTGTGGAGGTGTCTTTTCCAATGGAGAGACTCTCCAGGTTGCAAGGTGTGATGATCAAGGTAAGTGTCCGCTGGGAGTGGCCTGTGAAAAGATTGCTCTGCTACAACATGGTTAGTTTTAATAGAAGCAACTAGATGTTTGCATTATTGAAATATATCCCCTTTTCCCACCTGTGGGTCAAAAGGGGCAGTGGTCGAATGCATGGATGTCCAGTGACTGTCTCCAAGGGTGAGAGTCTGAGTTCCAAAGGGTGTGGACTTGAGATTTCGAAGGAGTAACAGCAATGCCTTTGTCCCAGGTAGTTGGAAAATTTGCACATTTTGCTCATTGAGTCCCCAGTATTGCCATTATTGCATTGGACCATCTGTGAAGATAGGGGTTAGTAATGTACAATGAAAGTGTTGTAAAACTGGCCAAACATCACAAACGGGGTGAGGGCCCTGCACGGTAGAATGGGTTTTCTGGTCACTGTGTAGTTCAAGAGGGCTTCCCTGGGAGGGATAATTTTTTCTAACAGGATTTCAGCCACACACGAGTCATTGGCCTTTCTCCAAGGGAAAGCTTTGGTCCAGTGAGGAAACATAGGCACATTGACTAACACTTATTTCCATGAGATGAGGAAGTGGCATGAAATCCACTTGCCAAATCTCAAAGGGTTCATTGGGCAGTTTAAATGCCCACGGGAGGTATGGATTTCTTTCCCAGGATTGTATTTTGGACCAATGGGAGGAGCAAGGTAGGCACTTTTTTGCAGCCTTCTTAATATTTCCCCACCAATATTGGTTCATGAACACTATCAGTTTGTTATTAGACCAATGGTTTAAGGTTTGTACTATTGTCAGGCATGGGAATTTTAGAATTTTGGGGAGGGCCAGATTGTTACTTGATCCAAGGCAGAATTCTCTCTTTTTATCAGTCATTAGATTCCCAACATTGTTTCTCCTTCTCTGGGCCCAGTTGTTGGGCATATCTGATCAATTTTTCCAAACTGTCAATTGGTAGGACATCCCTTCAGAACATGACAGAGGCCTGACTCTCAAGCTCCTTTTGAGCAGATTTTTTGGCAGAAATGTCAGCAAGGCTGTTTCCTCTGGCCCCCAGGGAGTCAAGTGCAGAATATCCCTGGGACCTTAATAATAGCTAGATCTGCAGGCAAAAATATGGCATCTGATGAATTTTGGACATAGCCATTTTTTAAATTTTTAAATTTTATTATGTTACTCACCATACAGTACATCATTAGTTTCTTTTTTCTTTAAAGATTTTATTTATTTATTTGACAGAGAGACCCACAGCAAGAGAGGGAACACAAGCAGGGAGAGTGGGAGAGGGAGAAGCAGGCTTCCCGCCGAGCAGGGAGCCCGACGTAGGGGCTCGATCCCAGGACCCTGGGATCATGACCTGAGCCGAAGGCAGACACTTAACGAGTGAGCCACCCAGGCGTCCCTGTACTGTGGAGTTTTATGGTTTTTATATTCTGGTTTTTCATGACCTATCTTGTTTTTCCGTCAAAACCAAACTATCCTGTCTCCTTGTGCCTCAGGGCGCTACTGAAAATCTAGTAAGTGATTTCCAGTATAGAGGAAGGACTGGATCCGTGATCCATTCCTCCCACAGTTTTGATCTTTGAGATAATACCTTAACTCAAAAGTGCTCTAATGGCAAGCAGGTATTATAGGCCATAGCATGTAGGTGGAAGGACTGCAAATTGAGGACTTTTCGTTTCATCATCAGCACACCACCCTATGCGCAGTCTCAGTCAGCTAGGTGTCTAACTCTTGATTTAATTTTGGCTCAGGTCACGATCTCATAGTTGTTGGATTGAGCCCTGCGTCAGTGTCAGGCTCCACATGCAGCAGGGAGTCTGCTTGAGATTCTGTCTCTTCCTCTGCCTTCCCCACGTCCTCCCCTCCCCCGCCTCGATCTCATGCACTCTCTCTCTGTAATAAATAAATTAATCTTTAAAAAATGAGTCAGAAAAAGATAAACATTCAGATTTTAAAATCGAAAAAGGACAGTAAACAGCAGAAAAACTTCAATCTTACTAGTAATCAAAAGACAAGTAAGATTACTCACTTTTTTTTTTTTTTGAGATTATTCACTTTTCACATTGGCCAAGACTTAAAACCTGATAATATCCAATGTTACTTGCTCCTTTACTGTCTGTAAGGGTTTTTGTAAGTTTCATGTTATTTCTTCCATAAATGTTTGATAGGATTTACCAGTAAAACCACCTGGGTCTGGGGCTTTCTTTCTGGTAAGGTTGTTAATAATTATTTCAGTTATTAAAATAGATACCGGATCATTCAGATTTTTGTTTTATTTTGTGTGGTATGTTCTATTTTTTGAGGCATCTTTCCATTTCATCTACATTGTTGAATTTGTTGACCTAAAACTGTTCATAGTATTTTCTTGTTATCTTTTTTTTTAAAGATTTATTTATCTCTTTTAGAGAGAGAATGTGAGAGACTGGTAGAGGGGTAGAGGGTGAGGGAGAGCGAGAATCTCAAGCAGGTTCCCCACTGAGTGCAGAGCCCAACATGGGGCTCAATCCCATGACCCTGAGATCATGACCTAAGCCAAAACTGGCTAAGGCCAACACTTAATCAACTGAGCCACCCAGGCACCTCTGTCTTTTTAATATGTGTAAGATCTGTAGCGATAACTCCTTTTTTATTTCTGATACTGACATACAAAAATGTTATGTTAAAGGATGATCATCCAAGCGTTTTATAAAGTAAAAAATTGAAAAAAAACTAAAAACCAAACCTCCAACAATAAGGGATTAGTAAAGTAAAAAACTTTATCATCTTGACAGAATGAACTACTACATGTCCCTTAAAATTATATGAAAACTATTATGAAATAATACTGCAGACTTACCTGGATGACTAAAGTTTAAAAGATTCATAGTAACAAGTGTTGTTGAGGGTATGGAGCAAATAGAACTTTTTTAAAAAAGGTTTCTCTTTAAATTCCAGTTAACATACAGTATAATATTCATTTCAGGTGTAGGGTTTAGTGATTCAGCAAACCAAACAACATCCAGTGCCCATCACAACAAATGTGCTTCTTAATCCCCACCACCTGTTTCACCCATCTCCCCACCCACCTCCCCTCTGGCAACCATCAGTGTGTTCTCTATAGTTATAAGTCTCTTTCTTGGTTTGCCTCTCTCTCTCTTTTTCCTTATGCTCATTTGTTTTGTTTCTCAAATTCCGCATATGATTGAAATCATCTGATATTTGTCTTTCTCTGACTGACTTATTTCGCTTAGCATAATTATGCAAATGGAACTTTTATTCAGCCTCCACTGTGGTAGGAGTATAAATTGGGAATTAGAAAACTGTGGTAATATCTTAATCAAACTTAAAATATGCATACCTTATGATTCACATCTCCCCTCCTAGATCTATATCAATCATCAATCTTTGCATATATTCAGCAACAGACATGTAGAATAATATTCAAAGCACCTTTATTCATGTTATCCCAGATTGGAATCAATCCCATTCTCTCACCAAAAGTAGAGTGGATAAGTAAATTTTAGGTGTATTCATACAATGGGATTCTACATAGCAATGAAGAAGAATGAACTATTGATACAGATACAATGACATGGATAAATCTCACAGGCATTATTTTGAGAGAAAGAAGTCAGACACAAAAGAGTACAGACGGGATGATTCCATTTGTATAAGGGAGCAGGCAAAATTAATCTATGGTTTTAGAAGTCAGAATAATAGTTACTGATGGAAAGAGAGGCTAAAGGTAAACCTTGAGACCAGTTAGAGGTAAAGAAAGGAAGTGGTTCATTCAGAATTAACTCCAGTAGGGAGTGCTCAGAGGAGAGACTTCCTGAGCAAACTTTAGTTGAGTTTTTTAAGTTGTGTCAAAACACTGGGAAAGCAGGTTTGCGATTTAGAGAGTGGGATGTTCAAATTGCTTGTCATATTTAACATTCCTGTGACTTTTGTGGTTGGCCAGGTCTGAATTGGGATGGCCCATGGAATCTGCTTGCAGGCATCTGCCACTCAGAATTTTTTTTTTTTAAGATTTTATTTATTTATTTGAGAGAGAGAGAATGAGAGAGAACACATGAGAGGGGGGAGGGTCAGAGGGAGAAGTAGACTCCCTGCCGAGCAGGGAGCCCGATGCGGGACTCGATCCAGGGACTCCAGGATCATGACCTGAGCTGAAGGCAGTCGCTTAACCAACTGAGCCACCCAGGCGCCCTGCCACTCAGAATTTATTGCTCTTAGGATTTAATGGACTTTTCCCAATTCCTGAAACTGCTTTTAGGTACAGAAATTTACTTCTAAGTTCATAAAAGGAGGAGTTCAGTTTTCACAGAGGCGTGAGGACATGAGGGAGCCTATTAGGGTGCTGGGAATATCTTATGTCCTAATCTAAATGTGATTACAGGTGCATAAATATGTAAACATTCATTGGGCTGTTCATGTAAGATTTGTGTACTTACTGAATATATGTTTTACTTAATTAAAAATTTTAAAATGGTATTATGTAAATATGCATTATTGCACAGAAAAACATTTCTCTTATATTGCTGAATGAAAAAGACAAGTTATGCTAGAAGATTTCTCCTTGAAATCACTTCTACTAAAAAAGTGTTTCTATATACGAAGAAAGAAGACTAGAAGAATATACACCAAAATATGAGATGGTGAATGACTCTTATTTTTTTATTTTTGTTTATTTGCATTTTCTAAACTTTCTGTAATGCTTATGTATCTGAGGTGGTCCAGAGCCCTCCCCAGACCACCACAGCCCCACGCTCAATAGCAGTAACCACAAGCATTTACCGCCTCTGACCCCAACACACCTGGGACATCATCAGCTCTACCAGTCCACCAGAAGGAACCATCTTCATCCATGATCCCTCTGTCCCCTGTGAGGTAAGCCATGTGGACTCTCGCTGAAGCATATTCCTCCCAGCTCACCTGAGAGAAGAACAAATTCAGAAACCTAAATTTACATAACTTCCACAATCATTTAATGGCATGAGCTGAGCACTGTGCTAGCCCTGAAGGGAGATAGA